TTGGAGCAATTTTGGACAAGTCCGGGACCCAGAGGACTCGACGCGTCGAAAATTTCCAGTAGCATCAGAAAATTGAGCCAAAGAGGCTCGACGCGTCGAGAAAGTCGCGCAAGTAAAACGCAGCAATAATTTACAAAAGAAATTTGAGTGGTGTTTAAGGGCATTATTCTCCAAATCATAAGGGACATCACTAAATTCCATATTGACTGGCGCTGAATTCCAAGCAAAAATTAAAGAGGTTGGTTTCCTAATAATTAAAGTCGGCAATTTCTTTATTTAAATATAGGAATTATAATTTGAGTCCAATTTTGTACAAGATTCCTATTTCATCTCAACTTTGTACCCACTATAAAATCCCCCCTTCCTCAACCCTAATGGAGACCGAGAGAATTCAGAGATTCTGGGAGACAAGAAGGAGAGAAATCAAGAGCCACAAGTTGTCATGGAAAGCAAGAAGAAGACTAGGGAGATTTGGGAAAATCGTCTGGTTAATTCTTGTACTCTTTTGATGATTTGTAATTCTTTATTTATATTTGCTATGTATAATTTAGTCATGCTTGGCTAAATTCTTTAGAGATTCTTGGGTAAAAGTGTTTATGAACCTATGTGCCTGAGCTCTCAGTTTCTTTAATATATTATTATTTGGGTTTAATACTTGTGTTGCAATCGTGATAATATTGTTTGATGCTTGTAATTAATGGCCATAGTTACTAGCTTCATAGCCATGTTTGTGTCACCAATGGGAGTTGGGGCATATATTAGGGTACACACAATTGCACCTAATGGTTGGACCTTGGGAAAGGGGAACTTATTAGGGGAAGTTTATTCTAGATTGTTGCCAATCGGGAGATGGTAGTAATTAGGAATAATTGAATGCTGATCTTCGATCTTATTGGGTGTTTAAGCCACGGGAGTGGAAATTCACTAGGAATAGAGATTACGGGAGTAATTCGATTCCACTTTGCATTCCCACACAAATCTTAATTCCAAACTAAATATTGCAAACGATAATTGGCACTAGGAGATTAAATACTTGAATCCCATGAATCTCAACTTCTCTCTAATTGTTTTCAAAATCCTGAACCTCTATTTTATTTTATTTATTTTATGCCAATCAATCATCTAAGTAATTGTTAGGATTAGCTCTAATGAATAAGTTAGTAACTAGTGCTTGATACAACCACTTCCCTGTGGATCGATAACTCGTACTCCGAGAATTATTTGTTTGCAAATATACTACGCATCAATGTGCTTACCCCTATTTGCTGAGTCTATCCCTGATTTTAAAGCTAGAGTTCCCTAAGTATATCTCTTCCTGCTTCAAAATGATTTTCGTATATTTATGTATATATATCTACCTATATTGTATTTCAACGCGTTGGAGTGGGTTACCAGCATTATTCGCTGAACAGATATATTTGGCTTTCAGGCACAGATGAGTAGACACCGGAGCGCGCTAGAGATCCGGAGCGTAGACTAGTTAGTTTCCCTTTCGGCCTGCGTGCTATGATTATGTACTGACATTGCTTTGAGGTTGTTTAGTTAGTTTAGCCTGTGCATCTGAGCTTTCCAGCTCAGGTGTGGCATAGAACCCCGTACTCTTATGTCAATTTTAGGATTTAATGAGAATTCGCCTTTATTATATAAGCTTTAAAAAGTTTCAAAATTTCGGGGTGGTAAAGTTTGTGTGCTCAAGAAACTCCTTTTTAGACTTTTTGAAAACCTTGCAATTTCTTGACTTTTACAAACTTTACACCTTTTGGAACCTTGATGTGTTGGTTAACTGGTATTCTTGTTCTCCTTTTTGTCGCATGGTTGATTCGTTGTTACCCGTTTGTTTTGAACTCGTCGTGCCTAAGCTTCGGGGACGAAGCTTCTTCTTAGGGGGAGAGGATGTGACACCCCGTAAATCCAAACTCTAATCAAGGATTAATTAGAGAATTAATCCTAGTCTCCTTGTTAATTTATTCCTAAAAATCCTGAAAATTTAATAGTCGAAGGAGTAGAATTTGACTAGTCATTCAAGGTCAAAGGATTGTACCTTATGCTTCTTGGGTTGTGCCCTTGTTTCCTTATTCTTCCAACTTTAGTGAGGGTAGAGATGTCTTTCTACCTAAGGTTTGTGGTTCAAGCAAACCTAGCAACATCCCTTCATTTCATTCACCTACAATCTACACACAAAATCTCTAACTTCTCTCTAAAAAGGTGTAGCTTCTTCTCCAAGCTAGAATATGGGCATCCTAAATCTTGCAAGTTGTCTTCCAAGAATCCTACTTTCCTTATCTTGAGCATAGGGGAGGGTAAGATCCTTACTCTTTTGGTGTTTTTAACCTCCTTTTAGATGTCTTTTTCTAAAAATAGAATCTTTGTTGTCTTTTGGTTTGTTTATAAAGTTGGTGTGGAAGAAGAGCTTTAGGAGAGGCTTTCTAAGGGTGAGAAAGAGAAGTTTTAGGCAACAAAGGTAACCCATACTTTACAAAACCTATTTTCTTACTTATATGATGATTTCTTGGCTTATACTTGTGATTCTTGTGTTGAAATGTGAGATTTGATGCATTGTCTTGTGGTGATGCATGTTTAGAGCTTGTTCTTAGGGTTATTTTATGCCATTGCTTGGCTATTTCTTGGGTTCAAGTCATATTGTTGTTTTGTGTGAGATTTTGGGTGTTTTGGACTTGAATTTGGACTTGTTGTTGAACATCCCCGAATGGATTATTTTGGAGTAAAGGTGTACCCGCGGGCGGAACGGCGGGCAGAGGCCTACCCGCCGCCCCACCCGCGGGGTACGTGGTCCATCGTGGGTTGGTACCCACGGGCGGAACCATGGGTGGTTGTCCACCCGTGGCCCCACCTGCGTGGAACGTGTATGGATTGTGAGTCTTCTTTATGTTTCGTATGTCTAGAACGGTATGTTAGGAATCCATGTAGGATTTGGTGTCTTGAATCGTGCTAGGAGTCCAACTTTGTGATTCATTGGGCTAATGTGAGTCTTGGATGTTCTTTGGAACTACTTTTGGTTTACCCATTTGATAAGCATGCTAGTTTGATGTTGAAATTCTAGTGTGTGCGGTTTGTTCTTTCCTATTGAGATTGGCAACTTGTGTTGACCATCGTTTTGTGTCGGATTGTGATCCTTCGTTGTTGAGTATGGTTTCATATCTTTGTTGTGATCCATTGATTGATTCCTATGATGTGAACGTATGTAATCGTTGTACCCTTTGATTGATGCTTGATTAAGGTTATTGTTGAACCTTAGTCTTCTTGGTAATGATGATGACTTGTGTGATTATAATTGAAATTGGTGGTGTGTTAATTGAGCAAAGGCTCATATGTTGGAGGTTGTGTGATTGAAATTAATGGTACCTTCGTGTACTGAGAGTTCGGCGGTGAATAGGAGATGTTGGAGGGGGGACGACGGTCCTCGGAGGCATAAGGTTAAACTCAGAAGTACATGGTGGCACTAGGAGGTAATGGTTGGAACCGAAATAAGGCCGGGAGTAGCCATAAGGTTGGAACAGGGCATAAGGTTGGAACTATGATACTTGTGACATGTAGTTGTCACTGTGGCATGTAGTTGCCAATGTGTGAATGTGAATTCTTTGCTAATGAGCATGTCTTGATGTATTCTACTTTATGATCAGTAGAATGCATCTTGTGTTGTTTTGTCTTTCATGATGCTTGTCTTGTTAATGTCGTAAGGATGTTGATTTCCTTTCCTTTTCAGAGTGTGAATGATTCCTTGAAGTTTACTTCTCTCTTGGCTTTTGAAATGATATATACCGTATTCCGTTTCGAAAATGGTTTTGACTTATACTTATCTATACATGCTATTTAACGCGTATTGATGGGTTACCAGCAATATTCGCTGACCGGGTGTCATCCCCATGTTATGTTTTCCTTGTTCTACAAGTTTTGAGTAGAGACCCGAGAGCGCTAGACTTGGAGCGTTAGATAGCTTTGTCCCTTGTCTAGACGTTGTGTTTTAGATGGCCTGTGAGCCTTTTGAGCGGCCTGTGTGCCTTCTCTTTAAACTATGTTGATTGGTTTAGTTTTCCCGCATGTGCATCTTTAGTATTTAAGATGTGGCATAATGCCCCCGTACACTACTACACAGCAGGCTTTTAACGTCGGTTAAATAGAGCTTTTAATGTCGGCTATGTTCCGTAGTTGTTCAGGGCGACGTTGTAAATATTATCTATAACGTCGGCTATTTATATAGCCGACGTTATATATTATTTTTTTTTTTAAAAAATAAAGTTTACAACGTCGGCTAATAGCATTTAACCGACGTTGTATAGTATTTTAAAAAATAATTAAAATACTTACAACGTTGGCTAAATGCTATTAGCCGACGTTGTAGGTATTTTAAATTTTATAAAATACCTACAACGTCGGTTATTAGCATTTAGCCGACGTTGTAAGTATTTTAATTATTTTTAAAATACGATACAACGCCGGGTAAACGCTATTAGCCGACGTTGTAAACGTTACTTATTTTTTAAAAAACATATTCAACGTCGGTTGTTACTTAATAGCCGACGTTGTATGTTTTTTTTTTAATGGCAGTTTATTTATCCATTTATACCCAAAAACCTGCTCAAATCTACTCACAACCACAACCACAACCTAAACCTGCTCAATTTCTCACAACCACAACCAAAACCTGCTCAATTATTGCACCACAACCACAACAAAATATGTAGAATCTAATATTTATAATGAAACAAGTAATAAAAGTAATAAATCTCACAATTCGATACTAATTAATAATACAAGTTAACATTATCAAAAGTTAATATCAATTTGTTCAATTTACATACTTAACCATACATCAACAAAGAAGTCAGCCCATACATCTCTTACTTGATCAATTTCTTGTTGAGTGTAGCTCGATCTACCAACTCTCTCAACAATCTACAAAGTTGATAATTATTAAATAATTAGTAAGCTAGCATTTTTAAAATTAGAAAAAGAAAGGTATTATATTAAATTACATGTCTTATCCATTCCCGCACATGCTTCTTTGGAAAGAATTTCAAGCATGTATTTCATCACATAATATCCACATGTCGTACTTCCAACTTGTTGAACACACTACATTTGAATTAAATTACATTTAAAATTTTATTTAATAAAAACAATAAAATATATGTAGTTTTACAAATGTATAAAATACTTACCAAAACCTTAGTCCATTTTGGTGAACGAGTTGATCCATTGCTTCTCAACAACTTTGCTGAATTGACACACCTAAAATTATAAGAGATTAGTTTACATAAATACTTTATACTTTATTAATTATACATATTAATACTTATAAGTTCACATACTTTTCAACAATATCTTTGATGTCATCACGTGGCTGGCCTCCAATTGAATCGAACCAATAGATTTCATTAAGTTGAGGAAAAATTGCCATCAACATCCAATGATCACTACAAATCAATAATGTATTAGTTGTAAGTAAATATAATATATAATAAAAGTGTATTATATATAAGTTATTTTATTTTAAACAATTAAAACTTACTTTAAAATATATGGCGCTAGATATCATTGTTTTTTGACATATTGCATGGTGACGTTGATATACCCTGTCTGTTCATCTATAGTATTTGAAACTGGTTGAATGAAATGCGGATCTAAGAAGCCATATGTGGTCTTTGATGCCAATTCAAATTTGTCACAAAGACCACTATTCAAAAATACAATCAATCATATATATTAGTAATATAATAAATGAATGAAAAATATTATATAAACAAATATAAGTAAAGAACTTAATTATTACCTTATAAAGAACTGCAATATGGAAACATCTAACGTCTCCATCCTTAAGAAACGCATAATCTCCAACGGGTCAAGTTGTAAGGGATAGTCAACATCGCCCACAATACCACGCTCCATCTTTATCACAACATTTTCATCAAGTTTGCGAATAATTTTATATACCTTTAGACATCGAGGACTCAAAGAAGTCGGATCAGCTATATTCAGATCAGCAAATGGTCGTTGCACACTGGAATCATAAGTCATTTGTACCTGTTCAATATAACTAACAATTACTATTTTTAAAAAGTAAATTAAACACTATTTTAAAATCCAAAATTTTTTAATATACATACCTCATCACCTTCGGTATACAACTCAACCAACTTCTTTGGCCAAATAATAAAGTTGTGCAATGCATCCCTTAATAGTTGAACCTCATCGATAGGGAAGGGTACCCTTGCACTTGACACGAGAATTTCAGTCACAGTGACCTTCACTTGATCCGCATGTATTTGTATCTCGTGAACCCTTTCGGCCTTGTAAACTATCCCACGTGCAACTTTACGTCTAATGGGATCTTCCAAAAACAATTCACATCCGGCTCCTAACTGCATGAATTCATATTAAGAAATAGGTAAAATGTTTTTAATACATAATAAGATTAGTTATAAATGATTACTTACGGCCGGTAAATCAGCAAAAGGGTCTGGAGAGCTTGCTTTTTCACTTTGACCATGTGGTTGGACAGCTACACGCATGTCTTCCTCCTGCCTTGATGGTACAGGTTGAGCCGCTGGAGTCCTCATACTACTAATTTCATCCCTCATCTCTCGAATGGCTGCTTGCAAGGATGTTTTATATTCCTCTCGGGCAACCGCTAACGCCTCAGCAACTGCTGTCTTAATCATATCTTTCACTTGTGGTGTAGACTGGCTTTGACGACGTTTTGCATGACCAAAGTAGCTTTTTAAGCCATGTGCTCTACCCATGGCTCTAACACGTCCGCAATGCTCATCTGTACCTATGGCACTAGACAATATATCTTGTGTACCGGACTCAACAAACTCTCCTTGAGAAGCTTGCAATGATAGCAAATCCTAATATATAAACACAATATTTAATAATGATTACTAGCTATCTTAATAATGTAGAAAATTTTAACATTTTACTTACAATCTTTTCCATGACCATTCTAGTCGCTTCGTTGTTGATATTTCCTGATTTGTCAATTCTTGCCCTCTTCCACTTTTCATGTCTAGCTGGCGGAGATGGAGGAACAACTACTGACGATGGATCTGATCTTGCAGCTTCTTCTTGTTCTTTCATCTTCTCATCCATCATAATCTTCTCCAATCTCTTATAGCATCTTCGGGCTAAATGATGTGGATGAACATTCTTACTCCGTATTTCTTGATGTTTCTTTCTTGATTCCTACACAAAAAGAAAACATTAAGTAAAAATATATATCTTTAATATATTTGAGTTAATAAATAATTGACAGAAAAATTATAATATATACCTCAAACTCTACAGTTTTACGCCGCTCCACGTACGTTTTCCATGTATTTGGATCAACAAATGTGTATTTTTTACATGGAGTATTCTTTATTGGGTCTTCATTATGGAATATGTATCTCTGTTCAATCTAGCTTTAAAATCTCTCCACCGTTCACCCGCATATGACATCAAAAAATCCTTCAGATCCGCATCATCAGTGGGGAAATCATAAACGCTCTGCAAGACAAGATTACTTATTAGAAACAAATTAAATACAATTAATTCAATAGTTTTATAAATAAGTTGCATACCGTGATATTATCCCACACCAACGCTTTACTCTCTTCTAGGACCGCTTTCCAATCTTTATATGTGATTGGAACTTTGCTCCGTGCAATCAACGCAAAGTAACTTCTGAATTGGGCGCTCTCTGGCCCAACAGCTTCGTGTTTCCTATTAAATTGAACCACCAATTTTGTGTCACCACGCCCAGAAATTAATTTTGTCATAACGGTTGTAACACCCCGTGTTACGATCCCTAAACCCCAAATTAATTAAATTAAGTACTCATCCCAAAAGGGGAGTTAAAATCTACTAACTAGCTAAAAGGGGGTCCACCATGGTCCATGGGCCTTTACCCCTAAAGCCAACCCCTTAGTCCTATAAGAAATAGAATTAGTAAACCCATGCCACCTAGACCCTAATTAGGACTCTTAGTTATATAAATAGAGGCATAGGAGGCACCTAGAATTCACACCACAAATAATCTCTCACCACACAAGAAGTTCCAAGAATTTCTTTAGGAGAAATCAAGAAAGGAGAAATCTTAAAGAAAGACCCTTCATAGCCAAGGAAATTAATTAAGGCTAAGAGGTAACCCATGTCTCAACAAAACCTATTTTCTTCGCTATAATCTCTTTCCTTGGCCTCCCTCTATATTCTTGTGTCTTGATTGAATTCTTCTATGATAATTATATGTTCTTGATGATTGATAAGATGACTTATATGCTTTCTTGAGAATCTTGATGACCTAGATGTTAAAAAGATATTCTTGATTATGATATGATGATTCTTAACGAATCTTGATATTTTCTTGATGTTAAGAAACAAATATGTACTTGATGATTTGGGTGGGATTAGAGCCCTAGGATGGATTGGGAATTTGCATTGAAGATGTTCTTGATTTATATTTGGGTGGGAATTCGCATGATCGGGTGTTGTTTATATTTAGAAGCTGTAATAGGATGAGTCCTACATGATTCCTGCTTTTGATCCGTTAATTGCTTATGCGATGTCGTTATTTGCGTTTAAAAGTGTCCAAGCATGGTTTCGGGTCCCACGAAGGATCCCGGGACGAAATTGTGATAAATGAGTCAGTGGGGGGTAGGTGGGGGTGGGGGAACCCACCACCTACCCGCTGCCCAAAGAGGCGTTGCCCGGCAGCGGGCAGCCGGCAACCGGCTACCCGCTGCCCGGAACAGCGCCCACCGGCGGGCAGCCGGCGGGTGTGTAACACCCCGTGTTACGGCCCCTAAAACCATTTAATTAATTAATCAATAGCCCAAGAGAAAGAATAAATCATAATGATTAATTAGGGAAAAAGGCCCACCATAGTCCATGGGCCCTCATGTATAAACCCAACCCCTAAACCCAATCCTTAGTTCCAAAAGGAATAGAATTAGCAAGCCTATAATATTAGTTCCTAATTAGGACTCCTAAATATATAAATAGGGGACTTAGGAGGCACCTAGAACTTCCCACAAAAATAACGCCCCACCACCCCAAAAGAGCTCCAAGAATCCCCTTAGGAGAAATCAAGAAAGCAAGGAAGCTTAAAGAAATATCCTTCATAGCCAAGGAATTGATTAAGGCTAAGAGGTAACCCATGTCTCAACAAAACCTATTTTTATAGTTATGATTTCCCCTTAGGGTTTCCCCTTATTATTGTGTTTTGATGATTGGTAGTGATTATTATTGATGTTGATGTGATGATCCCATGAGGGATCTTGATAATCTTGATATTGGGAGATTCTTGATAATTATGGTGTTCTTGATGACTATATGGGGATCTTGATAATTATATGGAATTCTTGATGATTATATGATGTTCTTGATGGTTGGAAGTTATTCTTGATGCTTATGTGTTATTCTTACCGAATCTTGTAATTATATGGCAAATCGTATTCCTGTTGATATGAAAGTGATTAGAACCCTAGGTTGTATCGTATGATTTATCGGGAGGGGAAATCGCATGTTTGGGTGTTGATTATGTTTAGAAAAGCATGATAGGTTATGTGCCGTTCGTTAATTATCTACGAGTTGTCGTTAATTGCGTTGAAAAGTGTCTAAGCATGGTTTCGGGTTCCACAACGGTTCCCGGGGCGAAAAGTGATGAAAAGAGTCAGTGGGGGGTAGGTGGGGGGTAGGGGACCCGCCACCTACCCATGGCCGTAAAACACCGCCCGGCAGCGGGTGGCCGGCGGGCGGGCAGCTGCCCGCCGGCGACCCGCTGCCCGGAACAGTAGAATCCGGCGGGCAGCCGGCGGGTGGCCCCCACCCACCGGCTACCCGCTGGAAAATTGTCCCACCCGGGACCCCGGCTTCCCCGTTTGATGTTCCCCGTTCCCCGTGGTGTCCCAACGGACTCCGTTTATCGTGCCTATGTCTAGTTTGATGTTTCGGGTACCGTTCGTAGGTTTATGAGTCTATTATATTGCATGCTAGTTGAATTGGTATCCCGTTGACCTAGGTGGAAGAAGTATGAACCCCTTAGGACTATTCTTAGTAAGTGATGGATCACGCATAGGTTTTGTTATACGTTTTCTCCCCCTTCCTAATGTGTAATGTGGGTTGCATGTGCTTGCTATGTGTTATGTGTGTGCTACCCCAATTCGGTTGCGATCGGATTGGTTATCCTGAGCTGCGGTTCAGAAGCTGGCTGCGGTCAGATTGATACTCTTGGGCTGCGGTCCACCGTTTGGTTGCGATCAAACGTTTCTATACGAGCTGCGGTTCGTCCTCTTTCCTGGCTGCGGTCAGATGACATTCTCTTGGGCTGCGGTCCACTGTTTGGTTGCGATCAAACACTATGATGAGCTGCGATTCATCG